GAGTGAGTTGGAGATAATCGCATAATCCATTTATAACCACCCAAGTTAACAAGCTCTCACCTTCTCCAAATAGGCCTCTTCTTTACAAATAGTCACTTGTGCACAAAAGTGGGCTCTCGTCCATGTGATTGGAGTCACATGCAGCCAGTCTCATGGCCCCATTATCCTGCAACACCACGGAGATCCATTCATATTCAGAGCACTATTAGAAACTGTAACGTGTTCTTATGTGTTTAATATGAGCTTTGGAAATAATTCTTCACCCCCCAAAATAACTTGTGGCTATGTCTGCCCGATGCCATCCCAGGCCGTGTCAGTTACCAGTAGACAAGACATTCCCAGAACAAAGGTGGCTGGTTCTGTGCTCAGACCATATATATGTGAAGCATGGGTCCAGGCACCACACTGTGAGAGACATCCATAAATGGAATTATTTACAGAAGAGAATGAATAGGTTGCTAAAGAATTCGGCATTATGACTAAGACTGGCTTTTTGTTGTTTTTCAGTCCAGCCCTGGCTTAAGCCCCAACCTGGGTTCTCAGCTCCCCTCCCTCCATGACTAGAATGCTTGTCTTGCCCTTATCAGTTGTCCTAATAGTGAGGGACAACGGCTGTGCTCACCAGATATGGCCTGTCAGCCAGACTTCAGAGGATTCCCCCCAAAAGAGGTGCGGGGTGATTGTCTGATGGAAGGAATTTGAGTCCACCTGGGACTCTGTATCCCTCAATTCCCACGTTCTGCCATAAGAAGGAACTCCCTTCCAGAAAAGGCAGCGAGGTCTGTCTGCCCATCGGGTCTATGACACACTCAGGGCCAGGTCCACTCCCAGCCAGGGCTTCCCGTGTATTTCCCGCTGGCTGAGGGCTCACTGCGCCTGGCCATGTGCTCACACGCCCACTACTGCAGGAAATGGGGACCACGCATCCAGGAGGACAGGAGAGCTGTTTGCAAACCGTGGGGCTGGCGTGAAAGTGGATTAGATATGTATGGGCCGTCTCAAGAGTTATGAACTGAGAATGTATGAGGGACACCCGGAGAGACCTCAGTTTCATATAAGGGGAACGCTAACAACTTCCTGCCTACCTTTGCCTCTCCTGCAGTGACTTGTGTGCATAATGAGCTAAACTATTTGTTAAACTGAGTACAACTGAAAATGTGATCGGCGCCTTTAAAAAGGCAGTGCACTCCCTTCTCTTCACTTCTATTTGCAGAGAAGATGGAAAGGGCTTTTGCTGGGCTGCTGGAGGGAGTGGAGCATGCAGATCACTTAAAAGTTCCATCTAAGCCTGAGATTCTAAGAGGTTCAATAATCAAATTTCAGTGAAAGTTAGCCTGGAAATTTCCCCCAAAGTAATTGCTCATTGGTCTGACTCGTTCTAAACTCAGAGAAGAAATATTTCTCAGTGGTTGACAAAGAGGAGATGCTTTCATTGGCGATGCATGTCTGGCATTCATGGCTTTGCAGACAGTTGTGCGAAGTGGGAGACCATATCACCACAGAATCTCACTCTCTGGCGAGATCACTTAAAAGCTAAAACCAATTTATTGTTTCTTCAGGGCATAGTCCACTAATCTAGCAAGAAATTTTATTCCATCTGGCTACACTGTGAAATGCAAACCAGAAAAAAGTAGGGAAGGAGAGCAAAACAGATTTCATCTCAAGGAAAAATGTTTCCAATAATTATCAAAATAATTTTTCCATTTTATTTAACAAGATAACTCTGAATATACACATTTAATTTATGAACACGGTGTAAACTATTTCTTCCCATCTTCCTTTTAGCCTAGCAATTTCTACATACATTTGGACATGGATAACAAACAGATTTTACACAAGAAAATTACTGTGTTTCAGCCGATTCGGTGTGATCGTGGCATTAGCTAATTGCCCGCTTGTGTGGAAGTTCGCGGGTGGGCATGAGCACGTCGCGTCCTCACTGGGATCAGGCCAGACACTCTCAGGACAAGTGCTCATGTGCAAGAAACATGCTGATCACAACACACAGTCATTCCCTGATGAAGTTATAAACTTATGGATATATTTCCACACCCAGAAACACCCTTTTATGTGGCTGTTGCACAGCATTATCTACTTTCCTTCCATCTAATGTGTGAAATCAAATGTGGTTGTTGGGGCCAGGAAAATGCACAGAGTCACAGTAGTATCCCCTTTTCACCAGACAGTTAAAGGCCAAGTACAACCCTTGGTGACCTTCTGAGAAGATCCACAATTCTTAAATAGGGCAGCGTCCCTTCTGTGCGACAGACAAATTGTACATTGTTTTGACACAGCCCTGCTGCGTTTTGTGGGCTGTTGAGGAGTCCAGTAAGAAGTAATATGTAAAATCTCTTTCTCTGAGAATATCTTTTACTTAAAGAATCTAAATTCTGAAGAATACCAAAACAATTACCAACAGTTCTGGGAACAGTATTTACCATTAGTTCCTCAGGCCAAAAATTATACACAGGGAAAGAATTAGGCACTTTGAGGCTGACTCTTTTGGGAATCCATAAATGAACTTTTTTTTTTTACATGTATAGAGTAATTGATCCAATTACAAAGGGATCTATCCAACCGGGTCTTTGAACTGGTGGGCCAGTGAAAGCAAGGGATGCGGTCAGCAGAAAAGCACCTTGTTTGGGAATGAAAAGTGCCAATTAAATACTGAACAGCAATCATAGTCCCTCACAGCCTGACATTTGCCTCTGATGAAAAAATGACAGTGTCAACTCATGGAATGACATGACAATTTATTGGATAAATATTTTCTGGAACACCTACACTTCAGTCAAAACTACAGCATTTAGTTAAAACTGTACTATTTGCACATCAGTCAATTTGCCAGGGGGCTCACAGCATGCCTACGAGACACAAATATACCAGCTGGTGGCAAGCTTATGGCAAGGCTCCCTAAATTAACAGGAAGTTCTGATGTAAAAAGAGAGGATAAAAATACAGACCAAATATTGTAAAGGAGCCATACTCTGGGGAAGATACTACTTGAAAAGCATAGAAGACTATTTTACCCAAGAAGGAATCCCAAACATAAAAATAAAATATTTGGTATTCTACACTATATTACAAAAATAAATATATCCATCAATAAATAGCAGGACACCTAGAAACCTTTACATGAATGTTTTGGTGGTTGGCTGCCCAAGTCTCTACATGATACTTCTCCTCAAGAGTCATTTGGGTTGGTCAACTTCAATGATGTTAATTTGGCCATAAACCTGTAGCAAAGAAGGGCGTGGGATGTAGCCAAGGTCTATGATCAGAGAAGATGTGAGTGAGCTCGACTTTCACAAAACTCTAAGGTTCTGACAATTTTCTGGCTTCATGTTAGTGCAGCAATTTCAGAGACATGCAGGCTGATGAGGCCTGAAGGGAGCTGGGAGGACTCTGTTTATGGGTCATGTCCTTTCATTCTCTGATGAGAAGAAAGAAAAAAAATTCCACTAGCAACATTTCAATAACCAATATGTGGCTTCCTGCACCCTCTTTCCATAAGGAAGAAGAAAATCGGGAAAATGCACGTTTATGTCTGGGCTGTGGGAAAAGAAGTAGCAGCTGGGTGTGCAGCCCAGCTGCAGACAGCCTAGATTTTCACATATCTTTAATAGAAGAGTGACTATAAGTGCTTGCAACAAGATTTCTCTAGGAACCTGGCAAGTTGGCAGAGGGCATGAGCAGGGTGCTGATAGCAGTGGGGTGCCAGAGCCAGCAAGCATGGCTCCTGAGAACAGTTGTTAAGTTCAGGAATTTTGCAAGCCAGTTGACATCACTTTAGTGCCTTGAAATAGGCCATGGGAGTATTTACACCATTGAAATGAACAAATCAGGCCTAATTCACCCCAGGACTGCTGGCTGTAAAGCATTTACCAGCACACCACTGTCTTAAATACTTTAGACATAAATTTTTGCTTGATTTTTCTCTAACTAGAACTATCCTGTTCAACTGAGGTTTTACTGTATGTCTATTACGGTGTCCATTAGAAGAATAAGAAGTACCGTAGAGTAAATGAGTATAAAGTGAGTACCATGGGTGTAAAGGATGTACCACATCCCACTGAGGGGTCTGAGTGTGGCTATCCAAAGCCAGTTACATACCACACACACACACACACACACACACACACACACACACGTACCATTGTATATGGAGATTATTCCATAAATGAATGGATCTGAATTGCATGACCATCTCAAATTGTCACTCACTGTATACTCACTGATAGTCAGAATACCACTTTTTCAGGCCAATGAATCCCCCAAGATTTCCCTCTGTTTGCTCTCAGAATCTATGCATCTGGATGTACAGAGCTGAGGTCCAAATTGGGCAAAATGTCTTTCAAAATCACTTCCCTTGCCTCTATTTTCTAGTGCAATATGAGTTTATAACCCCAAGAGTTTTGTGAAAGGGAGGCTGATGGTTTCCTAGGTTATAAAACATGGCAGACATCTTAGGGAAGCATTCAATGGGTGAGTGGGGGCAACGTACTAGAAATCACATTCCTGATTCTGGCTTGAACCATCTGTGTCATCCTCCTGGAGCTGTCAGAACAGCTTGAGAACTGCACTACTCTGGTTCCTCCTGCACAAAGCCCATGATCCCTCATGGGGGTGGGGAGGTTTAGACCACAGCCAGAGTCTCGGTGTCCTTCCAACTGGCCAGCTGCTGGCAGACCCATAAACTTGAGGTGGATAATCTTAAGGTGGACCAAGGCCTTACAGATCATTGCTGTCAGGAACACTTCCCAGTTCCCAAGTGGGAAGACTGCAGAATGGGAAGGCTATAAGGGTTCTACCATGGGCAAACCGGATTTCAAAATTCAGGCTTAGCTTTCAGTCATCTGCTTGTATGTCTATGTATTAATTCATTTACTTAGGTGAATCCATTTGGACTCTCATTTTCTTTTCCTTATTCTTAAATATTCTTCACGAAAAAACATTCATAAAGGATATTGTTAAAAGCAAATCAAATTAAATGTCAGGGAGGAAACTAGAAATTAGAGCACTAACTCCACTCATCTTGAAAGAAATGCTTTCTGGTATCCCTCCAGGTCACATTGGAGCAATGAAGGCGAGTGAAGACAAGGGACAGAGGAATGGGAGAAAGACACGAGGCTCTGGGGCAAAGAAGAAAGAGGGAAGAAAAAGGGTGGACAAAACAAACACAGAGGTGCAGAGGCAAGGGGGAAATACTAAGAATTGAAGAAAAATGTTAAGAAGTGAAGTGAAGAGACCAACAGACAGATCCCTTCTGGTTTTTCCCCTCTTGTTCTTTGAAAATTTTATTTTGTCCAAAAAATTTAATTCTCTGATTAGAACTGCTTATAATTTTACAGACACATCCTGGTATAGCATCCAGATCCCTTTTCTCTCATCCCCTATGTGCCCTCTCCCACCTCCTATACCTTCTGTAGCAATAAAGGCCAACATTGGCCATGCTTTCCTATTATCTCAGAAGCAGATGTCACCCTGAAGCCCCACTTTTTCCTTTCTTGACCAGACACCGCTCCCTCGACCACATTGGTGCCATGATGGGTTTATTCTTTGCTAGTGCACCTTAAAGCCACTACCTCTTGAACCCATTTGGTTTCTGCATCAAATAACACCTCTCCTCGCACATACAACATCCTTTACCATTCTGAGTGATGGCAGACACTCAACTGATGAAAGCCCACCTACATTCCCAACAATGTTTAGGAAACGTAGTATTTCCTAGGATGGTGAAATCCCTGGTGCAAATTATCTTGACATAGCTCCTACTCAGAGAAGAGGTGACTGAGAGCATACCATTGGCTTTTAATATATACATATTTGATTGAGTTTTGCATGTGTATGAGTCTAATCTACCTCTATAGAACCAATAGAGCTTTATAAGCTTATATGTACACATATACATACACATAAATCTATCTTTTGACACTATATCTCTGCTTAGGGATTGTTGTTTTCAAATCGACATAGAAGAAAAATAGCATGATCTTGCCATTTGCTGTTGGAGGTGGCATTGTCAGGAAATGGCAAATCCAGAGAAACACAGATCAGAAGGAATGAGACTGTATAACAAAATAAGCATTTCTTACAACAAACCAACCTGTCCATTTCCCTAAGTAAACCTCTATGATCTGTACACCCTTATTAAATAATCTTATTAAATAGGCACATAAAATATACACATATACAGTTATTAAATAAGCAACACTAATCCTCTTCTATCTGCAGCCACACTCAGAAACAGCCATGCCTTCATATTTAAACTTGTAAGTGACCACGCCTTTGTCTAAATAGAGGATGGAGATGGGCTCCAGCTTGGTGGGCACACAGCAGGCTTTGGAAGCCTTCTGGGAATTCTTGAGGTGGACCAAGGCCTGGATAATCGCATGTTTTGTGGGTGTGAGATGCTCTGCCAGGGGGTAGTTGCAAACACCACGGCACTCATAGGCTTCATATCCAGGCGGAGCGATGATCCAAGAGTCCCAGCCAATCTCCTTGAAGTCGATGTAAAGCGGGGTCCTCTTGCAGTAGTTTCCTTTGGCGTTCCTTCTGATGCGGGCAGTGGAGTCATAGATGATGTTTGACCTCATCTGCAGCAGAGCCTCTTCCCCAGGACCACTGGAATAACCATCCAGGCCCTGGTTGTCCAGCTCCAGAAGTTGCTCATGGGTGATCATTTCACTCAGTTCCTCTTTCTCTTCCTTCTCACTGCTTTGGTCATCAGAAAACACGACAATCAATGGGACGTGCTTATTCTGGGCGCTGGTGTCTATTTCCAGTTGTCCCCGGCCAGTGCCCTCAGTTTCGTCGTGTCTGCTCTCAATGTGGACTTCCAGCTGGTGGGTGGATGAACCTGACTTTTGCCAACGTCTGATGGCACTGGTGACATCAAAAGTCTCCCACTCACTGTTGGTTCCATAGATCTCCTCTGACACCAAGACCAACATGTTTCTTTCACCCTCGTTGTCCTCTGTGTTCTCAAGTACTTCAAAAATTGTAATTTTCCGGTCCACTCCATCATATATCATGCGATCTCTTTGCACCAGTGTGTACAACCGAAGTTCAGCCATGATGACCTCTTCATGGTGGGGGATGGACACATTGAAGAGGAGAGGGTATTTTCTGAGCCCATTAAAACTGGCTGGTTGGGAAAACAACTCTAAAAAAAAAGACAAAAGTGACATTTACAGTATGTCACAGAGAAAAACAGACACTTATTTATGTCATAAGAAGGCTTGTCTATGAAGGAAATTTGATTCAGAGAGAATAAGGGGATATAAATGAAAATAAACACAATGTTAGCATTCTCTGACACAGAAAACACTGCAAGGTCAATGGTAGAATATTAGACTGAGTTAAGCTGCCAAGACTAAACTGGAAAATGGCAGTCTAATGAATTGTGAAAAACTTACCCAGCCTTGCATGCTAGCCTGTCAGCCTCAGAATTATAGCACTGGTATGGGCAAGTCCCCAATTTTTCTAACCAGTGAAGAGATAGCAAATGAAACATGTTATGGTTGTTCTTTTCTTTTAAAAAAAAGTTTATTGATTGATTGGTTTTGAGAGATAGAGACTTCAATTTGTGTTCCACTTATTTATGTATTTATTGATTGGCTCTTATATGTGCCCTGACCAGAGATTGAACCCTCAACCTGGTATATCAGGACCATGCTCTATCCCACCAGGGCAATTGGTCTTTTCTTGACACTTTTCAGAAGGCTTCATAGTTTGTCATATTTGCATGTAATGGGTGGAGTCCCCACATAGCTGGCTGGCACTGTTCTTCCTAAAGACCTCCACCTAGACCAGAGGTTGGTAAACTATATTCCATGGGTCACCAGTCTTGGAAGTAAAGTATTATTGGAACACAGCCTCACCCACTCTTTCTGTATTGTCTGTGATGATGGTTGCACTACAATGGCATAGCTAAATAGTCCCAAGAGAGAAAAATCCTATATAATAAAAGCCTAACATGCTAAGTGTCCGGTCGTCTGGTCAGCTGTTCAACCAATCAAGCGTAATATGCTAATGATATGCTAAGGCTGTTAACCGCTCACTATCATGTGCACTGACCACCAGGGGGCAGACGCTCTGACTGGTAGGTTAGCTTGCTGCTAGGGTCTGGCCAATCGGGACTGAGCGAGACTGGCTGGACACGTCCTGGAGACCTCCTGTGGTTCCTCCCCAGCTGGCCAACCTCCCGCATCCCTCCAGTCCCCAATCATGCACCGGTGAGGTCCTTTGGCCTGGCTTGTGCCCTCTCACAATCTGGAAACCCCTCAGGGGATGTTGGAGAGCTGGTTTCAGCCCAATCCTGCAGGCCCAATCCTGAGGGACCCCACTGGTGCATGAATTCATGCACTGGGCCCCTAGTGTTTCATAAAACCTATGAAATGTACTATTTGTATGGCCCTTGGTAGAAAAAGTTTGCTGATCCCTGCTCTAGACACCAAAGCCTGACAAGGCCAAGGAGACAGCTATCTACCAGGAGGGTCACAGCAGTTGATTTGGGGTGTGCAGTCCTTGACTAAGAGAAATAGGGGAAATGAACCTTCGGGATAAATTGGTTGACTTAGTCTTATACCCTTAGCACCTGGCATGGGGTTTGGCACATACAAATCATTCAAGAATATTTATGAAATAAAATTTTAAAGGTCCTTTTATCTTAGAAACACACCTCCAAATATCATCATGTTGACTTTCTAAGAATTTTATAAGAGTCCAACAGCTCCTGTAGTCTTGCCCCAGATAATACATGTCTAAAAGGAATTCTTGAGGGCATTTGTCATCAAGCAAAGGGTTCCATGACACCGAAGATGATAAGCACCACCAACTGAGGGATTGATTCTCTATCACCTTTGGCAGCATTTTCCCGATGTGTACCCCATTCATGAACTTAATATTTTTATTTAACTTGATCTGATTATTTTATACTTTCAACCTCTTTTAGACTTTGCTTAAGCAACAGCATTTATGAAATGAGGGGTTTGAGGTGATATGTGGATTTTTTCTAATTTACAATAGTAAAAGTGTACAATTATTTCACAGCATTTACAGCTTCCTCTAGATTTGACCTAAAATTATCTCATATACTGCCAGTAGAAAATATTGGTCAATGGAATGCATTTCAACTTTCTAGCATGGCTCTCAAAACAGCTATAACCAGGTCTTAACTTCTTGATCCAGTCTTTACTCCCATTCATGCTCGCCAGTGCATGAAACATTGCAATTGTTCCATTGATCTTTGTTGAAAGATGAAATAAGCTGTAAACCCTGTTTAAAATACACTGATATCTTCATCACTTGTGAAAACACCCCTTTGCTTTATTGTATGTTTCACCTTGGGATTGGTTCTTCTGACCTTTGGAAAGCCTTATTCCCTCATTTCCAACTACCTAGCTGTGACTCTTCCCTGTGGAACCTTCCCTCCCTTAACCTCCCATCTGGATACTCACTCCCTTCTGAATCACTTGAGTACTTACTCTCTATCTCTCCTTTTACCTTTGCCATGTACATCCTTGTATTTCAGTTGTCTCTTCGTGAATGGATCTTCCCAACTAGACTATCATCATGCTGGCAAGTACCACATCTTAAATTCCTTTCTATGCCTTTAATCTGCAAGATTACCTTTGAGGCAGCACTTTAAACATATTGATTAATTGATGATCCCAGGCATCAGACCACATTGATATATAAGTGTAACATATGTCCTTAATACATATGGGAGTTGTCCCCTCCTTATAAGAATGGTGGAGACAGCTCACCTTGGGCAGGGAACATGTGAAGACCAAAAATAGGGGAGTGGACTGGTTGCTTGACCCATGAGAAAAGTGCAGAATAAAAGCTCACTCTAGTGAGAGGAAAGGATTTCAAGGGAACACTGGGAAACTTGGTGCTCATGAATATGTTCACTATTGTGATTGTAGTGATGGTTTCAATGGCTGTTTACTTATGTCAAAGGCTATCAAATTATACACTATAAATATGTGCAGTTTATTGTATGTCAGTTATCTATAATAATAAAAGCATAATATGCTAATTAGACCGGATGTCCTCTGGATGTCCTTCCTTCCGGACAAAGCCACAGAAGGCAGGGGCTGTGGCAGAGGCAGCAGAGGCAGCAGAGGCCCCCGGCCGAAGTGGAGGCAGGTGGGGGCGAGGGCCAAGGCCCTTGCATCAATTTCGTGCATCAGGCCTCCAGTACTTCAATAAAGCTGTTTAAAAATAAATTCACTGTGCATTTGCATATATAGTAGGCAATAGGTGGAGGAGTTACATTTCTAAGCAAATTTCATGTGCCAGGTGTTCTGTAAACATTGTTTTATTTAGCTCTTACAATGTCCTTCCAATGCAGGTATTGCTACTCTGTGCATTTTACATCAGACGAAACTGAGCCTCAGAGCAGAGAACTGACTTCCCCCAGATGACAAGATGCAGTCAGAGCTTTGATAGGAATATTGGTCATGCTTTTTCCACCTTCGAGGTGGCAATTGTTTCCCCTCGATTAGTTAGATTTGGAGGGATTGGGGGATTTGTTTTGTTTTGTTTTGTTGGTCTTTGTCTCCTTAAAGCTGCACTGAGCAGACCCAAAGAGTCAAAGAGAGACAATAGCAGCCAGTAGGGCGAGCCCAGGGCAGCATTCCTGTCCCGGGGACTTTGTGTTCCCAGCCACAGACTGGCGGAGCTGCAGTCTGAGTTGTCCATGGAGTGGGGCCCCTACCCTTGCTGATCTCTAGTAATGAGAAACTGTAAATGTTGCTTCCTGACCTGGATCATCCACATCCTCCAGAGAGAGGATGAGAAACCCCAATTTCCCTGGAGGACAGGAGTGGCTCTGAGCCAGACACAGGCTTCAGCGCACAGAAATACTAAGGAAGGACTCCCATGGAAGAAGACTGTTCACTGGCAATTCAGACTCACCTCCAACAGAATCTGTCATTTCAGCTTTGCCATTTCCATTGTGTTACTAAATACCAGATCCAATATGTTACTAAATATTATAAATTTTGGTCTGGCAACTAAATTTTTAAGGCACACAGTATCTCCAGGACTAAGCAATACCTACTCAACATTTTCTGTAATGCCTAGAATTTAGGGAATTCATCAGGAATAACTAATGTTTCTTCAACACTTCCTAGGAAATGGAATGTTTCTTATTCAGAACCTCTTTTGAATCACTCTATTGTGTTGTATCCCCAATATACAGATCAGGAAATTGAGGTTCAGAGAAATAACACGCATTATCCACAACTACTAAATCAACCTGTTCTCAAAATTCCAAATCTCTGAGCTATTTCTTTGACACCACCTTTCTCCTTTTGAGACAGTCTGGCCAAAATCGATCTAAACCCTATTTTTCACCTGGCTCGTGTCTATAAAGCATAACTGGTAAATATTAAAGAATTAGTTTCTTTAGACCCACCGTTTTTACCATAGATATTAGATTTTTGGAGGGGCCAACTCACACCATAATAAACAAAGGATTAACTTCCAAGGTCATTAGATTTAGTTACTGAATAAAGATCTGGGAGGAGAAAATACATCTTTCCACTGATATGTAAAGCTTGTGCCTCACTCTTCATAAAGGCACAGATTTAAGTTGGGTCATTAACTGGTCCGTGCACACTTCCTAGAAACTAGAAACAGTGTTTCAAGGATATACATGTCACATCAAATGCAACCAAACTGTAGGCAAACTCTCTAAAATATAAGCTTCCATCTTGTTTGAGCATCTTTTAAATAAGGCCACAAAAGGGAAACTCGTCCAAAGCTTGAGCGAAACACAAATCACAACTTCCTGATTTTCATCATTTTTAATCAAAATAGAAGTTGACAAACTTTGTAATCAATCAAAAGCCAAGTGGAAACGGAGGCCCATCTGAAAAGTGACGGACAGCGGAACAGTAATAGGCCAACATTAACTTTTTGTATGACTTGCTGTCAAAATTTAAACATTTTTCGAGATCCCATTATAATGTCAAAATGGTGGAGACTTTATAACTTTGAATGAAAAGATATTCTTTGGTACCTTGCAATACCATTTGGAAAATAAGCATTAAAATGATACAGGCCATAATGTGTATTGCTTTGTAGGTCTGTATGTCTGTATTCACTCTTATTCGCTATAGCATGCATTGGGAATTTATCACTCCTTGAAAAAGATCCAAGCCAAATGTCACCGATAGAATGTAAACTTACCTTCATTTTTGAAACTCCTGATGATGTTGGCAGATGGCATGGAGGTGCGGTCGGTGGCAAACTTGTTGTAGAGTTCCAACATGTACTCTGGGGGGTCCACCCTGGCGGAGTCCTGCATGGGGATGTCAGACAGGTTCAATGTTTTGAGAAACTCGTTCTTCATGCTCTGCAGCAGTGTGTCAAAGTCAACACCATCTTGCTCCGAGAAGACATCATCGAAGAGGGGCATGTCTTCTTCCAGAGGCGACTGCTCCAGGCTCATGATAGGGCTTCCAGAAGCAGAGTGAGCCGCCAGGCAGAGGAGAGCGCACAGCTGCAGGGCCAGAGAATCCATGACTCTGCTCAAGCCCCCAGGCCAACCCAGGAAGGTTTAGCTCCCCTGGGCTCTAAGTGGCAGTTTTATCTCACTGAGCGTCAATGTCTCCTGTCACTGGAGACAAGTTTGGAAACTCTTCCTCTCTCTCCCTCCCCCTACCATTCTTCCTCTTCCCCCAAAAGTCAGGTTGCAGTAATTGGATAACAAAATACCCTATAGGGGCCTAGCCTTTCTTATCTCGCTAGTGTAAACTTGTGCACCAGATTTTGTTTCTATCTTGCAATCCCTTTTTCTTTTAATGAGCATTTTGTAAACATTTCCACATTCTGACACTGGCTGAGAGATAGGACAATTTTCTCCTCACAGAGGCTCTGCTTCCCTTCCTTT